CCCCCCCCCCATAAGACTATGAGCATATTTTTCAGCAGAAACTTTGCAGGCCAGACGGGAGTGTCATGATATATTCAAAGTGCTGAAAGAAAATAAATTTGAGCCAAATATACTGTACCTGGCAAAGTTATCACTCAAAAGTGAAAGAGAAAGTTTTCCAGACAAGCAAAGGCTAAAGGTGTTCATCACCATTAAACCAGTCTTGCAAAAAAAATATTAAGAGACTTCTTCAGCCCTAGCCAGTTTGGCTCAGTGATTAGAATGTTGGCCTGTGGGCTGAAGGGTCTCAGGCTAGATTCCAGCCAAAGGCATGTACCTTGGTTGCAGTTTTGATCCCCGGCCCAAGTTGGTGCTCACGAGGGAGGCAAATAATTGATGTGTCTCTCCCACACTGATGTTTTACTATCTCTCTCTCTCCCTTCCACTCTCTCTGAAAAGCAATGGAAAAATTATCCTCGGGTGAGGATTTAAAAAAAAAGGGGGGGGGGACTTCTTTCAGCTGAAAAGAAAAGGTGCTAATTAGTAACAGGAACATACATAAAAAAATAATTCTAACTGGAAAGGTAAATATATAGTAAAGTTACTGAACTAATTACTTATAAAGCTAGTATAAAAGTTAAAAGACAAAAGTAGTAATAACTATGATTACAATAAGTATTTAAGGTGTACACAAGATAAATATAGATACAATGTGACATCAAAAACATAAAACATGGGGGGGTAGTAATAATGTTGAGCTTTACAATGGAATCAAACCTAAGTTGTTATCCATTTCAAATAGACTCTTATATGCATATAAGTTGTATGTATTGTTATCAATTTAAATTAGGCTATTATATAAGCCTCACAGTACCCACAAAGCAAAAACTTATAGTAAATACACAAAAGATAAAGAAATATAAGCATACCACTAAATAAAGTCATCAAATCACAGAGGAAGAGAGCAAGAGAAGAAAAATGAAGAAAGAAGAGCTACAAAAACAGCCAATAAACAATGAACAAAATGGCAATAAGCACAGGCTATCAATAATTACTTTAAATGTAAGTGGACTAAATTCTCAAAGCAAAAGACATAGAATGGGTGAATGGATAAAGAAAAAAAACAAGACCCCACTATAAACTGCCTATAAGAGACTCAGTTTAGACAAGGAGAGTGAAAGTAAAGGGCTGAAGAAAGGTATTCCATGCAGATGGAAATCAAAAGAAAACTGGAGTAGCTATACTTATATCAGAAAAACTAGACTTTAAAGCAAAGACTATAATAAGAGACAAAGAAGGGTATTGCATAATAATAAAAAGATCAATTCAACAAGAAGATATAACATTTGTAAATATTTATGCACCCAACATAGGAGCACTTAAATACATAAAGCAAATAATAACAGACCTAAAAGGAGAAATACAATAATAATAGGGGACTTGAATACTCCAGTTACATCAAAGGATTATAAGAAACTACTATGAACAATCATATGTCAATAAATGGACAACCTAGAAACAATGGATAAATTCCTAGAAACTACAACTTACCAAGCCTGAATCATGATGAAATAGAAATCTGAACAGATCAATTACTAGTAAGGAGATTAAATCAGTAATCAAAAACCTCTCAACAAACAAAACTTCAGGACCAGACAGCTTCACTGATGAATTCTACAAACATTCAAAGAAGAATTAACACCAATCCTTCTCAAATTCTTCCCAAAAAACAGAAGAGGAAGGAACTCTTCTAAACTCATGAACAGAGATGCAAAATCCTCAACAAAGTATTAGCAAACTGACATCAATAGTACATTAAAAGGATAATACACCATGATCAAGTTGGATTCATCCCAGGGATGCAAGAATGGTTCAACATATCAATGTGACACATGAATGACATTAACAAAATGAAGGATAAAAAGATCATATGATCATCTCAATAGATGCAGAAAAAACATTTGACACTTATTTATGATAAAACTCTCAACAAACTAGGTATAGAGGGAACATACCTCAACATAATAAAGGCCATATATGACAAGCCCAGAGTTAACTATACTCTATGGTGAAAAACTGAAAGTTTTCCTCTAAGATCACTAACAGGACAAGGATGCCCACTCTCAACACTTCTATTTAACATAGTATTTGAAGTCCTAGCTGGAGCAATTAGGCAAGAAAAAGAAATAAAAAGCATCCAAATTGGAAAGGAAGAAGTAAAACTGTCACTATTTGGAGATAATATGATATTATATATAGAAAACCCTAAAGACTCTATCAAAAAACTGTTAAAACTAATAAATAAATTTAGTAAAGTTACTGTATACAAAACTGATACAGAAAAATTTGCTATGTTTTATATGCTAATAATGATCTACCAAAAAGAGAAATTAGAAAAACAATACCATTTACATCTGCATAAAAAAGAATAAATATCAAGGAATAAGTTTAACCAAGGGGGTGAAAGACCTGCATGTTGAAAACTGCAAAAAAATTAATAAAATTTCTTTAATGAAAGAAATTGAAAAATACATAAATAAATGGAACAATATCTCAGGTTTACAAATTGAAAGAATTGATATTAACATGTCCATACTACCCAAAATGATATAAAGATTCAATGCAATCCCTATCAAAATTACAATAGCGTTTTTCATAGAAATAGAATAAATAATCCTAAAGTGTGTACGGGACTATAAAAGATCCCAAATAGCCAAAAGCAATCTTGAGAAAGAAGAACAAAGCTGGAAGCATCATGCTCCCTAGTTTCAATCTTTACTACAAAGCTATAGTAATTAAAACAGTATCATATTGGCATAAAAACCAGACACATAGATCAATGGAATGGGATAGAATGCCCAGAAATAAACCCATGCATATATGGTCAATTAATTTACAACAAAGGAGCCAAGAATATACTATGGGGAAAGGGCAGTATCTTCAATAAATGGTGCTGAGAAAACTGCACAACCACATGTAAAATAATAAAACTGGCCCACTACCTTACACCATACACAAAAGTTAACTCAAAATAAATTAAAGTCTTAAACATAAGACCTAGAACCATAAAACTCCTTGAAGAAAACACAAGCAGTAAACTTCTTGACATAGATCTTGGCAATGATTTTTTTTAAATCTGACACCAAAAGCAAAAGTGAAAAAAGCCAAAAGAAAAAAGTGGGACTAACATCAATTAAAAAGCTGCTGCATAGGAAAGGAAACCATCAACCAAATGAAATGGCAACATACCAAATGCGAGAAACTATTTGCAAATCACATATCTGATAAGGGGCTAATATCTAAAATATGTAAAAAGTTGACCCAATTTAATAGCAAAAAAACCCCAAAACAATCCTGTTAAAAATGGGCTGAAGATCTGACTACACATTTTTCAAAGACATACAGATGGCCAACAGGTACATGAAAAGATGCTCAACATCACTAATCATCAGGAAAATGCAAATTGAAACCACATCTGGTAGGATGACTATTATAAAAAAGATAGGAAATAACAAGTGTTGGTGAGGATGTGGAGAAAAGGGAACCCTTGTGCACTGCTGGTGGGAATGTAAACTGGTGCAGACACTATGGAAAAGAGTAGGGAGGCTCTCAAAAAATAAAAAATGTAACTGCCATATCATCCAGCAATTCCACTGAGTATTTATCCAAAGAAAATGAAAACACTAACTAAAAAAGATATATGTAAGGCATGTTCACTGCAGCATTATTTATAATAGCTAAGATATGAAAACAACCTAAGTTTCCATTGATGGATAAATAGATAAAGAAATTGTGGCATATATATGTGTGTATATGTGTGTGTGTATATATATATATATATATATATATATAT